TTAGAGAGGGGTGGGAAGACAGGGACCTTCAGTCCTCACAACTTTGTCATCGGGGCAAGACCTACCAGGAAGGATTCCTGAGACCACTAGGCCTGAACTGTATTTAGGTTTACTTGAATAAGGATTTAATTTCACTGTCATTGGTGACTTAGTGCTGACTTGTTTCTGCTCCAACCCTGATACCTCTTTTTTTTGGGGGGGGGGGAGGTATGCATTCGAGACACTTCACACAAACAGTAGTCTCATGAGAAACAGAAATCTTAGTGGCCGGCCATGAGTAAAAAGTTTCATTGCATGTTTAATGCATGATCCACCCAGAGTTAAGCACTTTTACTGATTTCAATGGGGGGGGAGTTATACACTTAAATATGCTTAGTTGTAGAAATATTGGAGTCTCATTTTTTCTTCTTATATACAATAAACAGCCAATAAACAATATAGTTAAAACATACTTACACTGCATATCAGTACTATGGAAAATTAGGCATTTTATTCCATGTGGTCACTTTAATAAATTCATTACTAAAAATAATTTTATGCCCTGTAGTATATTACTAATCAGGACCTGCTACTGGGTTTAAGGGTTTCTCCCCTCTGTTTCGTATTTACATTGATTTCTCTAATTGGAACCAACTGATCTTTTTCCTGTATATTGATTTTTTAAACCCTAGCAGTTAACAATGATTCTAATATATTGTAACACTTTAGACCTTAATCATAGAGTGAGGGGGGCTTTGCTTGTAGCTTTTGTTTGAGTTTTAATTAAGAAGACCTTGTGTCTCCAACCCTGAGCTGTGTTTTTAATTGCTCATATGTATATCATGTAGACTTCAAAAGAAGGAAAAGACGTTTATAACAGAGAGCACAAAGGGGAGCTTTGAAATGTCTACAACCGTACAAAGTGGCATAATTAAAAACCTATGGGTGCTCCTGTGATATATAAGCCATATATATTTATAAAGTAGGCTGCGGTATACACTTGTGACTTGCCAAAAGGGATTTTGGCACTATTAGAGAAATAATCTCAATGCATCTCAAATAAACTGTAAAGAAAACTAATACGGTAATCTTTTCAGCCTTCTATTGCTCACAGAGTTCCTGTGTATTCTTGTTATCATGCTTGCTGAACCTCTGACAGCTAACCTACATTTTTCTCTTTCTGAATTCCTAATACAACTGTAATACCAATTATCCCACTTTATGCCTTCCTCTGAAAGCAAGAGGTAGCACTTCTAGCAACAACGTAGCAGCACAACCTTCACAGAATGGATACCAATCCTACTCCTATCACAATTACAACATATACTCCATCTTTCCTCACAATTCTCTTCTCTGAAGAGAGTAACAGCTATTTCTATCAAAAGCTAGCAGCATGAAACTTGATACAGATAAAGGAATATGCACAGTGTATTTTATAGTGGAAATCTCTTATGCAGCAGGTCAACGCTTATCCAGCTCTTAAAATCTTGAAACTAGCACAGGCCTCTCTGTTTGCTAATTATTCTTAGGACACCGGAATTACAAACAAAAGCTTTGAACTCACTTTAATTTATCAAAGAAGAAGATCTTTGCATGGGGAATTAAAGAATTATGTGCAAGTCAAAGAGTCATACAATGCAAATGCTTTTCTGTAGTGGGTAAAGCTATGCACATCCGTCAATGTCTATCCAAAAATAGAGCATACTGTACAAAGAAAGACTGCATGTGACATTTAAGCCACAATGTGTGTAAATATAGATTATGTTCCAGTAGTATACTCCTCTAGAAATGGAAACCAGAACACTTCACCCACTAGATTGTGACCCAGAAGCCTTCTATCTAAAAGGCTGCTAGAAACATCATGACTCTTGGAGATAGCATAACTAACTGCTTATGTTGTGTATGGACTGGCCTCCTTTATTTGATCTTCAGACCCTGTATTTTGAGAGAAACCACTGGAGGCTATTTCAGAGGAACAATAGTGCGATGCTTGCAGGACTCTGCTAAGTAAGAGATTTATGTTGACATGTGAAACAAAACTAAAAACAGGCTATTTTTGGTAATAAGGGGCACCATGCTTTCTGATAGTTAACTGGGAAAGTTGGAAAATGGGGGTGGGGCTTTAAATCACTGTCATTATATACCTCGATATTTTATTTACATAAGATATGCACACAGGAAGGAAGGAAGGAAGGAAGGAAGGAAGGAAGGAAGGAAGGAAGGAAGGAAGGAAGGAAGGAAGGAAGGAAGATTTTGCATGTAGAATTACTGCTGGAGATATTTCTAAATAAGTCATTTTCCATTCATTAATATTGGATGGGAGCAATTTGGGAGCACTAGCCCAATGAAATTTTGATCTTTTAACCTTTGAAGAGCTAATCTCTATATGGTCTTATATACCAAAACCTTGAACTTAGCACAGTCACAGATTGGCAGCCAGAGCAAATCCTGTAAACACGGAGTTATATGTCATGCCATTTGCCCCCACAAACAACCTATCACAAGCCATCAGCATGAAACTTGATACAGATCAAGGAATATGCACAGTGTGGGTGCATATTGAGTACCCTGTTAAACACAATCAGGTCCAGGGTGGGCTTTCTTTTCAGGAGCGGCTACATTACTATACCTTCAAGGTTGCATGCACCACCTCTTCATGCAAATATGAAATCAACCAGTTATCCTCCTGCCCCACCTAGATTTAATCTGCCATAAGGGCAAAGAGCCAAGAGGTAGCATCAGTGGGTACATACTCACAACCATCTTGTTAACCTCTTTAGGCTGCAAAAACTGAAACTGATCCCACAAAACAAGGCTTGATGGAGCATTAGAAACCTCACTGAACCCTCTGAGATGTCTCAGGCTCCATCCACTAATATAAGTGACACAAGTGCTTTTGGTCTAGAAAAAGAGGTACCAGAGCTCACCATGAACATGTCCCTTGTTCTCTTATAATGGCACTGGCGCTCACCTCAGAGGTGCTGGAACTGAGTTCTGGTGAGTTCCAGCTGAAAAAAATCCTGGGTGACACCAGTCTATGGACCACCCCTAAGAAGTTCTGTTGAGCTGACATGATGGCAGTAGATGTTGGGATTCTTTGCTACATTAATCACCATGCAGCAGGCATGGTTATGTGCTATAACATGTGCTTGGTTGTCTTCCCAATAAGGCTTTTGCCACTTTAGCCATCATCCAGCCTGCTTCATAGCACATACCTCCCCAGTATACCAGGAGGATGAATATGCTCCACAGTCTTGTAGATGATGCTCGGAGTGATCATATCTATGGCCCTCTGCATCTTGCTGTGCTACAGAGAGACAGGGCCTCATAAGGATCACCAGCTCTGTCCACTGGAAAATAACCCAGAGTGTTCAGGAATTGTTGCTTATGTCCAAAAGATGATAAACATTGCACTCAAATAAATAAGCCAGCAAGCAGCTTCAACTAATTTCACTAGGATGCATGCAGAAAAGCATTGTGGTGAACTGCCTGCAAGTACTACATGCAAAATAAAATTAATTGTGTCCAGGGAGTAGAGAAGCAATTTTCATCCAATGTTTGTCTTATCAAGTCTGTTATAAACAGATATAGAATCTAATTTTAAATAAGATCAAGGCAATTAAACATCTACCTTAAGGCCAAAAAATGCACCTTCCACTATATGTCTTGTACTATGACTAATATTTTCACATCTCTTTGTTTTGGTAAACAAGGTTGGCATAGCAAACACACAGGCACAGAAGAGCTTGGCTGCCTTTTTCCTTTTTTCCTGGCATCCTTCCCCATAACTGATATTGCAGGCCACTTTTTCAAAGGGAGAGTATGTGCTTCATTTATCCTTAAGAACAACGCCTTCTGTCTGATAAAGCAGAGAACTCCCCAGTAACAGTCAGTGCAAAGAGCAGCTCTTCCTCACAAAACCACACCTTTGTTTCTTGCTATTGAGATTCTCTACCCACCCCCTCCACAATCACCTAACTTGTTTCCGTCTTACAATGTTGCTTCACAGCTCCACTGTGAACAATCAGTGGTTCTGGGAAGGAGGAAAGAATAACTACACAACACAAACACAATTAAGTAGTAAAACCTGACAAATCCCTACATTTTCAAACAAAACACTAAGCAATGTTTTCTTAATTAAATGCTGTTCAGAATCACTAACAGACTGTCCTGGAGTACAGGTATTCTACAGCATGGCCATTCCTGGACAGTTAGCCTTGCCACAGCACCCATGGCTTGGTAACCTCAATACTCATTTACTATAATATATATGCTCTAGGTGGGGCTGTCCTTAATCTTGATCCAGAAGATCCAGATTACAATTCTGGTGCATGCTAAAAACTTAATTGCTCTCCAAGACCTTTCCAATCTATTGATGCTAGTCTCTGTTAGAAATTTAAGTATTATTTTGCTGCTTCACTGGACTTGTATTTAATTGTGTTTCTATATGAATTTTATTGTACTGCTGAACACCACCTTAAAATGTCCACATAACAGATGGTGTATAAATATCTTAATAACTAAAACATACATACACTGATTGAGAGCGATAGCCCAAGGAAACAACTAGGAAGCATGGTTCCATGTTTGTGGTTGCGAACTATAGTATACAAAAGGGAACACTGGAGAGCTTTATCCTAGGATACAAGGAACTTTTTCTCCGGAAATTCCTTGTCTCCATGTTCACTATAGGAGGCGGCCACCTGTGTATATTATACATCATAGGACACTCCTATGCAACATGTACCAACCAGAAAGCCAATGCAGGCTTAAGAACATAACTCAACTTTGCAGAGTTCAATGAATCTGTGACAGACCTGATCCAAAAAATGAAACCTGCCTGAACACAAAATCCATAGTTCCAGAGCAGGCTCCTCACTAAAAAGCTATTTACTTCACCACACGCAGAGAAGTCCTATTAGTATTCTTGGAAAGTCGGGGGTAATCATCAGTAGGACTTTTTGCACTATTAAAAAAATCTGCTTTTCAAAATAAAATACGAAGTCTAATTTATACTATACCTTTAATTTCTCCAAGGAGTTCACTTGTGTTTAATCTTTCCATTTTCTCCTTCCAGTCTTTAGAAAGTAACTTTTCTACGCAAGATGAATCTATGAAAACAAGAGGGGAGAGAAAGTGTTAATAAAAACTTAAAAGTTTGTGAAATCAACATGCAGATATTTTAAGCTGCTGCACAATAAAATAAGTATTTTAGATTGAACAATCTAACTTCCTGCACAACTTCCGCGTCATACCATCTGCTGCCGTTGTACTTGCAGCCAATCAGAAACCATGCTTTGGTTTCCAAACGTTTTGGAAGTCGAACGGACTTCCAGAATGGATTTTGTTTGACTTCTGAGGTACAGCTGTATTGTCCCTGGACCTGGCCTTACCCACTTAAAATGCATCCCCCCCTCCCCCCCCCTGATTTGAATTACTGAAGGATCAATAAATCCCACATATAAAGGAGGAGGAAAGGTCTGGGAAAACACTGTGATGGGGGAAGATGTCATATGAATGCCCCTATGTTAACAGGGAGACACACTGATGTGAATCCACATTTTGCTCCAGTGTGGACAAATCCCAAAGGTTACGTGTTGCCATTTTATCACAATAAAAGTTACAGTACAACCTTTATACAAGTTTTGGTTGCAACGCTGTAGAAGTGTCTTTGGAAGGACAGCACAGCTTATGCATCCCTGCACCCCCAAGTAATATTTTAGTAGGGAAAGCCAATATACTAATTATATCCTTTCAAAAAAGAGCAAAATTAAGAAGCACTAAGTTGTAATAGACAGTATTAAAATACTTGATACACAATAAAACAAATAATTTAATTTTAACAATTACAGGCCTTTATTATTTTTATGAGTTTTGGCCAGATAATAGAAGAATCAACAAATAACCACCAATTATCAATAGAACATTATAATTTGTCCTTTTCTGTGATATCATCAGTTTAAAAAGCTGCATCTCTTGTGCCCTGCCAAAAACGAAGAACGCTGGCTTTATATTGATATTTACAGAAAGTTAACAATAAAATATTTAAAGTAGGATACTTTTGCCCAGTTTATGACAATACAGTATTAGAGCAAAATGAATCAAGGAACAAAAAGATATGCCTGACTTTTAAGGCACCTTTTATGTAGTTGTATTTTAAAAACTTATATAAATAGAGAAGCATTAAACACACACACGAATGGCAATGAATATTTATTTATTTATTTAGCTAGCTAGCTAGCTAGCTCTCTTCTCTTGATAACATATACAAAACAAAGCTTTCTTTTCTTTTATCAACAAATGGAAAATGTCTGAAAACATCTTGACAGCTCAGCTGTGATATATCACCCTATATCATGTTGTGGCCAATGAAAGAACAATCCAAATCTTTGAGGTTAGGCAAGATCTGAAATCTCAGAAAATAGAAATAATATTAAGAAAGTGTAGGTTCTGCTAAAACTGCAGTGCTGGGAAGGAGCAGCCTGAAAAATGCATAGTTGCCTAACCCAAAGATTATCTATTGTCAAACAAATCAAAAACCTGTCCTTCTCCACTTTGAATTTGTAAGTTTCTATATGTACACAGAGGATTAGATCCAATGTTAGTAGACCACTGGAATAAAGAGTCTTAAGGTACTTATTAAGTCTATGGATTTCAAGGGTCTACTCTTGAGTATGGCTAACATTGGATACACCATAGTTTGATTAGGGGAAGAAATTACAAAATCCAGTATGAGTGTCAAGGGAGCAATCCAGAGGAAATAAAACAGATGGTCCAATTAAATCAATGGGACTTGATAAACAGTTGGGGGAAAGTATGTTCCAGGCAGACTGAACATTTTCGAGTTTCTGCTCAGCACAAACGACCAAAAGTTACACCTTACATAATCTCTAAAGAATGTGTGAGCATTTTTCAAGATGCTGGACACAATGGAGGGAGCATTAGTGCCACAAAAATAAATAAATAAAGCCCAATATATTTAGAACTGGGTTCCTACAGCCGACCAGTTCTGTCCTTTCCTACAGGAGCAAAGCTTCCCTGGCCACAAGGGCTTCCCTGTTTATTTAAAAGGAGCTGGGGGGGGGGAGTCCATTGCAGTAAATGTGGAAAGCCCCTCATGCATTAGTGGTATGCAAAAAATGGAATGCTGAGAGAACTCTGGGTTGGTATCTATATAGAAATTATCATTGTGTTAATAACAATTAGAACTTTATAGTTATTTATAATTTATAGTAATTTGGTGTTATCCTGATTACTATGAATTGAAAATGGTTACAGTTTGAAATGCTGTGTAGTATGGTTTCACTAACTGTACAGGTCACTGATCACTTTTTAATGTATTGTAAATTGTTTGTGGCCATTAACAAAGGGCAGTCTATAAATGAAATTATTAATAAGAAGAATACTGTGATGAGTTGAGGGGGGCTAGATCCGCCTAAATGTGTCATGATTTAGTAAAAGTGAGAACTGATTAAGCTTTGATTAATTTTGCCCAATGTGGAAACCCCCTGGATTTAGCTATGCTAATGAGCCAAGCCAGCTCAGCAGAGTTAACTGGATGGGACATTAGCAGGGGACAAAGGGCAGTGATGGCCCATCAAGGAAACCATCACAACCAGGCAAATGGGGGTGAGGGCCTTCTTCACTGGGTGCTAGTGAGCAAAGGCCAGGTTGAGGGTTTCAGCTCTAAATGAGCTGAATGAGCCTGGCGGAGGTCCTTGGACTCAGTTAGTAATGAGAAGGAGAAGAAGGGGCAGAACTCCAAATGAGCTGGGATGACAGGCTGAAACAAAGAGACACAGAGGATGGCTTTCCCCCCTCCTTTGAATCCAATGCTGCCCTTAGCGGGGAAGCCAGATCCTCACAGGATGTGAATGTTCTGCAATCCCTCCATCTAGGTGCAGGTTGTATATCTGCATAAATAAAACCACATATAATAAAGACACCACAGTCTCCGCTGTGCCTTATTCCCAAAAGGAAAAACAAACCCTGGGTAAGTGCCTAGAACCCCTGGAATCTTGTACCACTCATGGAGATTAGGGTGGTGTGTAACAGTACTGGTAAAATCGTAGCTGTCAACGTTTTCCTTTTCTTGTGAGGAATCCTATTCAGAATAAGGGAATTTCCTGAAAAAAAGGGAAACGTTGACAGCTATGGTAAAATTGGAACTATGACCCCATTTCAAAGTGACTACAAAAACCATGCACTCTCCAACATGATGGATTCCTGTTTATAAATATTTCTTGATTCTATGCCATGGGCAAATGTATCATTTTTGTATGTGCTTGGTGTAACAAGCCCATCTGTGCCAGTAAATGCTAAAGGTAAAGGACCCCTGGACCATTAAGTCCAATCAAAGGCGACTATGGGATACGGCGCTCATCTTACTTCAGGCCAAGGGAGCCAGCATTTGTCCACAGACAGCTTTCCGAATCATGTGGCCAGCATGACTAAACTGCTTCAGGCGCAATGGAACACCATGACAGAAACCAGAGTGCATGGAAATGCCATTTACCTTCCTACCCCAGCGGTACCTATTTATCTACTTGCACTGCTAGGTTGGCAGAAGCTGGGACAGAGCAATGGAAGCTCACCCCATCATGCGGATTCGAACCGCCGACTTTCCAATCGGCAAGCTTAAGTGTCTCAGTGGTTTAGACCACAGCGCCACCCGTGTCCCTGTCTGTGCTACAACATGGGTTTATTTAAAAACGCCCTGACCTATAAGCTGTAGTATTATCAAACAACTGATCTGAATTTGGAAATCTGCTATCAAAAATCCTACCCACTGTAAGGGGAGCTTTGCTGGATTGGGTCAATGACCCATCTACACCAGCACTCTGTTCTCACAGTGACTTGCCAAATGCCTATGGAAAGCCGGCAAGCAAGACTTGAGTGGAACAGTCCTCTCCCAAGTTATGATTCCCAGCAACTTGCATTCAGAGGCAAACCTCCTCTAACAGTCAAAGCACTGCATAGTTATTTCGGTTAGCAGCCACTGACACTCTTAGCCTCCAAATGAAGCAGAGCTCAGATTCCTAACAAAGCAGAGTTTAGACATGCACATGTACACCACGTTTCTTCTGAGTGTTTATGATTGTCTATAAATTATTCTTTCTGTGGAACAATGAGATAAGACTTGTCTCCTTTATTAGTAAGCTCTGGCCCTCTTTGAGTAGCTTTTTACGATTAAAAGTGTACTGAAGTTTTCTTTTTTAGTGACAACAGAAACAAAACAGCCAAAACAAACAAAACCTCTGAAAATTATGGCAAAGAAAAGCTATGCCTATTGCCAATACTCAATTTTATCTCTAACTACACAGCACCCAGTACATATTCTTAGTACCAGATGACCAGGTGCCTAATCCCCAAGCTAGAAAGCAAAGCATGGTAGGGAAGGTTCTGTGGTAATGAGGTCATGCCCTCGGACATTTTCCTTAAAACCTGAGTGAAATCCCACATCGCACACACTCAGAAGGCATCTTCATTACTGTTTCACAGGCCTATTTAACCTAATTGTGAATGTCTCTTTAACAGGAAATAATGGTACTAAGGTTCAACTCTTAATGAATGTGTGAAGTAGCATGTGATTAAATAAGTTGTCAAATCCTAGCCTCACAAGGACTTTGAAAGGTAACTAAAATGAACACTAGGCTGGAGAAGTACTAGCTTAAGTACCTTAGCTTAAGGTACTGATCTGCAGCTCATGTGCACATGTAAGAAAACCCACAGTGACTAATGATTTGTTGCTATGAGAACTTTGGTTGGGAAATGGGTTTGAAGTGTAAGAAATAAATAGCATCAGAAGAAAACCCCGAAAGCTTGTATATGTGATCATCTTCTTTATTGCTGAGCTCATCCATGTGTGCTGGTACAATTTTATGCAATTGCTGATTTTAAGGTGTTAAGACGACACCGTCTCAGGGCGGGAAGAGAAAGGGGAAGTGATAAAAAAATTAAAACGAGAAGCCACCAAATTCACTACAATGCTTTTTAAGAGATAATGTGAGCTCCAGGTTTAAAAAAAGAAAGAAAGATGAAAAGCATGTCTCTGTGATCAGAGGGCATGATGAAAACAATTAACATTTATCCACTGAGTAATCAATCAGTT